CCTAACCTCCCAGGTACCTACTACATCGGGCCCTAGGGGCTCTAGTACACTATATAGTAGGTACCTGGGGGGTTAGGGAGGGTTCTGGATTCCGGTTAGGGTAGCGCGGGCGTTCTGAACTTAGGATACTTTTTTTGGGTGGCTTATTGTTTGGTAGGGCCAATAGGGGTTAGAGGGTTCTGGATTCCAGTTGGGGTAGTGCGGGCGTTCTGAACTTCGGATAATGTTCTTTTGCGTGGCTTATTGTTTTGGGTCAGGGATTCAAGATTGATCCCAGTCTGTCTTCGAGTCTTCGAACAACTGCAGCAGGCGTCTAGCTTCAGGATCAAGAAAGGTACCCAATAGCAGAGACCTCCCGGTCCTTAGGAGGTGGTATTCTATGCTATGCTAGAGGGTTGGTGGAGGGACGAAATACGAAAGGTCGCATGAAGTGGTTCGCATATGGAGGCCAGACGTGGTGTGTTAGGACTACAAGGTGCAAAGATGCTTCCTGCTTAGGGTTTAGAGTTTACTTCGACATGGGTGCCTAGGGCTCGTCGAGTGCTGCTTGTCGGGCTTCCTTCCAATGAAGATGACTATGGGGCGTGGGTGCAAGGGTGCTGTGAAGCCCAAGCCTAGAACTTGTGGCACCAACTCCGAAACTCACTCCGTGCTCAAGAAAAGCTAGAGATGTAACCCTTACAACGTGAACCCCCGGTTCCCTTGCCCAATTAAAGCTAACTTCGTCTTGTTCTGGTAGAACTATTTAACACTCTATACGGTTAAACGATACCTGCTCAGCTATTAATCAAGGATGTGGGGCGGTCCTGAAGATTGCAGAAGTAGGGGCTCAACCCTCCACCCTAAACCCTAAACCCTAGGAGCGACCAGACTCCCAAAATCCCAAACACTCCCGGCCCAAACGGCACCTTAATGCGGGAGTCGAGGGCATTCTCCCATTCTGCCAAAAAGCACGGCTTGGAAGGTCTATGATTAGGGTTTAGGCTTAGGGTTTAGGGCTTAGGGCTTCAGAGTCTAGGGGCAGGGCCTGGGAGTTGGGGGTTTCGGGGTTCAGAGACCTCCTTGCCCCGGAGGTTCTCCATGTTGGGCCCATTCAAATAGAGTACGGTTTAGGGTTTAGGCTTTGAGGTGGTATTCTGGGCCCATTCAGAAGAGTACGGTTAAGGGTTTAGGGTTTAGGGTGGTATTGTCGGCCGATTCAAAAGTGTATGGTTTAGGGTTTAGGGTGGTATTTTAGGCCCATTCAAAAGAGTATAACTATCAACAAAAACCGCATCTTGAACCCCCCATGGGAATCCCAACAGAACGGATCGCAGCCTCGCTGTTCCTTGAGACTCCAAACGCCTTCTTGCTCCACCTAATGTAGGGCCTCTATGATGAGAATCTAGAATAAGGTTGTGGGGTTTAGTGTTTAGGGTTTGGGGTATATTCTACTACAAATTATAACAGGGACCACACAGAAATGGTGTCGGTAATTATTTTGGCCCCTCTATATTTCCCCAAGGCAGCGGAGGACCCTTCTATGCCTTAAGACCTTATCAAATAAAGCGGTTTAGGGTTTCCGGGGGTTTAGGGGTTAGGAGTGAGGGTTTAGGGTTCTAGATTCTAGACCTTTCGGGTTTGGGAGTTAGGGTTATAGGCTTACCTGGACCCCAAAGAACCTACCTTTTTAGGGTTCCTTATTATGATTTCCTTGTATAAGTCCCTAAGAAGGTAGGTTATTTAGGGTCCAGGTAGGGTTTAGGAGCTAGGGTTTAGGGTTTAAGAGCACCCTAAACCCTAAACCCTAAACCCTGAACCCTGAACCCTGAACCCTAAACCGGGTTTAAGAGCGGTTTAGGGTTTCGGGGGTGCCGACCTTGGGTGTCCTTGGGCGCAGAGGACGAGGCGAGCTCGGAGGGACTCTCCCAGGAGCCGGCCTGGTAAGGAGGCTGAGAATAGAGAGGCCTTAAGAACGGTTTCGGGTTTAGGGGTTTAGGGGTTTAGGGGTTTAGGGTTTAGGGTTTAGCCTTAATAACTAGCCACGGTTTAGGGTTTAGGGTTTAGAATCGGGTTATGTTATGCAGACTGTAATTATCCACTAATTCTTCCGACCTCTGTAGTGAGCCTCAACCCAGAATTCCAAGCGTTCACCTAACTCTCGAGCCTCTACGCCTCTAAGCGAAAACCAATCGTAAACACCGTTGTACAATCCAACCCCTACTTAGAAGGGATCAGGGGGCTTGGGAAGCAAGTTGCAAGTAGAGGTATACAGGAAAATTATCCGACTCTGAAAGCTCCAAAACGGCGTACTTGAAACTCTACGTATCGGTAATGAGTGGAGTTTTGAGTGGGGGTACTGGCCTTCTCAGTTCGAACAGTGGTGGATGTTGCAACTAACTAAGTACATGGATACCACGGCCATAAGGGAATACTGTTATGTTAACCTTGTTTCCGACCCCTAGAGGACTTCCCGATTCCCCTGGCTCCTAAGCCCTAAGAGGTTCAGACTTTTTCGGGTCTTCCGCTGCCACTTTCATGAAGCTCTAAGGCTTGAGGGCAAGGCTTTCATGTTCGTAAAGAGAGTCTTCCGAGGGTGTTGTGAGGGTTAGAATTTGAGGACTACATCCCCGGGCCGAAACTGTCGCTTACCCTACGTAAGCTAGCGGAGTAATTTCTGCCCCGTTTACAAAATGTAATACCTTTTAGTTCCGGAGGAGGCATGCGTTAAGAGCCTATGAGTGGGGAAGAGGGTGGGGAGGGCTGGGTATTATAGCATGTTCAAGCTAGTGGGTCAAACTATCGGCTCGGCGCAGTATATAGGCTGTGAGTGCTTTATGTAGCGACAAAGTAACACAAAGTTTAGGTGTAACATAGGATTTTGCTTTCATGGTGTTGCTGCGGTCTGATGCAGGTTTCCAAAGCTCTTCTGAGTCTCCCAGGGCCGTGTCAATCCTGGGTGAGTCTGGGTTCACATACGGCTTTGGGCATAGGCTTGCGCAAAGCTTTATATTGACTTTGTAGGGTTTCTTACAGGTTCCATACACGGGCCTGAGCGTCGATACCAAGTCTGCAAGTCTCCACGAATTTCATGCCGTTTCAACAGGGTGTTGATGCCACCTGCTATTCGAGGTTCGAGCAACGTTTTCGCTCGAAGCTATCACTTCAGCAGCGCTCCGACAGCACCGCAGCACGGCGCATTCAAGCAACAGCTCGTCCAATACGATGATCAGCATCAGAATCGGGTTAGTTGAGTCTTTCCGCGAGTTCAGAACTCCTTGCAAGGGAAGCTCTTGCATTCCCATCGTATTGCCTGAATGTTGCCGTGTTCAGAACTCCGCACTCTGGAATCTCAGAAGAAAAAGCTTCCAATCCTGCGAAACCCTATGGCATCAGACTTCCAAACAACACCTTGTGAACATCTAACACACATAGAACACTTGTTTAACGAGGCTTACGAAACCTAACGGAACCCTCCACAACCCTGCAACAACCCATATTCACGAGTCCACAAAGCGCTACCAGTACAGCCCCCTAACAGCGCTGCCAAAGCATACGTGACACCCGCATGTGACCGTGTCATGCAGGGGCCTTAATAATTCGAACAGGGTTTTGGGGCCAATTATACTATACTTACAATAAGGACCCTCCCTAAAAAAAAGTATAGGCATTTATTTAGGTCCCTATAGTAAACACCCGCATCAGAGGCTCAGGGTTTGATACAGGGGCCTCGTAAGTTAGAACAGGGCTCGGCTGAGACCCCGTAAGTGTCTTTCCAGAGAGCCCCGATGGCCGATACTCGTGGACACTCAGGCCCTGATAGAGGGTAGCTGTGGGGTTCTAGGCAGGGTTTCGGGTTTGGGGTTTAGGGGTTCTAGGCAGGGGTCAAGGTTCAAGAGATTCGAGGGTTGTGAAATTCGAGGGTCATCAGAACTCGTTGATTGTCGGAAGGTAAGTATCCCGGGGCATTTGTGAGGCAATCCCAGCAATTGTCTGCCTAAGTCATTATTCCAACTTTCGGTACAATAAAGCCGGGCCAGAACGTTTCCATTACACGATGACTGCAATAGACCTGGAAAATCATAAATGAGGACTATAAGGGTGTAGACTACTAACAACTGCTCTATTTGATCTTAGGTCTTCAAGTCATTTGTAGTCTTCCGGGCTTCCCGTGAGGTTTCGGATGCTTTAGGGATACTGACAATGGTTGGAAGAATGGAAACTGTTGGGCTTAGGCGAAAACAAGCCTAAACGCAGAACCCTTAAGCCCTAATCCCCTAACCCCCTAAACCCTACAATCCCTGAACCCCTAAACCCTATAATCCGTGAACTTTAAACCCTAAAATCCCTGAACCCCTAAACCCTATAATCCGTGAACCCCTAAACCCTATAATCCCTAAACCCCTAAACCCTAATTAGACCCCCCAAACCTCGCCAATCACGTCGCGAAGCTTCGCTTCCCGAAGTTCGGCCATGGCCTGCTGTGCACCTGGGGACAGAGCGACTCTAGAAATCCCCATAGTTGCGGCTCAACTAACCCTAACCCTAGGGCTCCAAGTGATCAAATAGTACCTACTTTGGGGTCTAAAGTCTGTAAATAGTACCTACATTGGGCTATTTGGAGTTCCAATGGACCCAATAATCAGGTACTTTGGTTGCGGATAGTAGCTATCTAGGTTAATATTTGGGAGAGTATATGGTTATTAGGTACTTGGACCCTTAGGGTAAGGTACGGTTTAGGGTTTAGCCCTAACCCTCCATGTACCTACTATATAGGGCCCGAGGGGCTGAAGTACCCTCGATAGTAGGTACCTGGAGGGTTAGGGTAGGTTTTAGGGTGTACGGCTTAGTAGGGATCTTTTTACTTCGTCAGGAAAACCCAAACTGGGTGTGGGCTTCGTTTTCTTTGCACAGACCTGAGCAACTCGCAATGTTTTTATGGCTTTACATAATTTACTGTTGGGAGTCGGGGCTTCGGCCGTTTGGGGTGTAGGGACATGCTTAAAGGCTTGGGCTTGAAGGGTTTAGGGCCGTTCTCATGTTTCAAACCCAAACCCCAGACCCTTGCAAGTAGTTGTGAAAAGGCGAATGCTAGCAAACGCCTCGTGTGGGCCGTGTAGCCTTGGTCCATCAGCTACCACCTCTGGCTGAATTTGCGCAAAGGACCCAAGTACCAACGCAATATCTTAGGCTCTTAGTAGCTGGACCCCCAAGAGTCTCAACGTATATGTGTTACTTGGATTTGTTGGGTGCGTCGGCCCGAAGTTCGATACCGTTCTCTTTCTGCAAGCAAGAGATATCTCTCTGCACACTGCTAACTGTCCTGGAAAAGCAAAGCTTTGCGGCTCCCATTGACGCTTCTTTTCGGGTGATGAACTCTTCTTCGTAGAACTTGTGCAGTATGCTCGCATCCAACCTAGCATTTTCCTGAACCATCACCCTCACGAGTGGGCGGCAGTGGTTATAATTACTTTCTCGATCATACACGATTCCCTTGCTTTTAAAGATCAATAACGGACGAAGCGGCGGCTGTGTAGGGTCTGCTTTCAAAGCGAGATGGAGGGAGGCCCTGCGCTTGCCAGGCCGAGCTCCGGGTGCCTTGGCAGGCACCACGTCGAACCTCGCTTCCTGAGGCCCTGCATACATGTTCTGCGCAACCCGGACGCTGGTACAGCGCTGCGGTATACATGGCAATGGTATATGTGGGGGCTGTCGATCGACATCAGGCTGCGTGCGTTGAGGCTGCGGTCAGGGTCCTGACCTTAACAAGCTCCAGTGCACCATTTTCTACTGTGTAGTTTAATGTCTTAAATCAATAATGACGTTGATGATGACCGTTAATGAGTGATGAGGAGGATGACGATGATGCTGGTGATGATGATGTTGATGCACCTGCAATCAGTCGGTCCTAGTACCGTGGCTGTGTATGTATCCTGCGGGGTCGTGCTGAAGCAGAAAGAAAACACTGCCGTAATTTCTCTCTTTTCTCGATTCTGCTTCATTGGTGAAATGAGGAATTATTGCTCGTCATTGCTTCTGACCTAAACCCTGAACCCGAAACCCCAAACCCTAGCCTGGGGCTCCCTGCGAGATTTCGCCTCGGCCTCCTCCGCAAGGCTGGAAGACACGGCCCTGAGGCTGGCCTCCTTCGTCATGGGGGCTAGGGCCTAATGTAGAATTCGAACAGGGTTTTAGGCTCCTTTAGAATAAACTTACAATAAGGAAATGTAAGGAACAATATTGATAATAATTTAGGCTTCTATATTAGTAGGGTTGAGCGTTTCTTTCGAGTTTCAGGGTTTTGGTGTTTAGGGGATTGAAAAGTTGGGAGTAGCACGCTTTGGGATTTCGATTCAGAGCTAAATCGGCTACTATCTTCGGATTCATAAACTTCTTGTTTAGATTTACTGCTGTGTTGAATATGACTGGCGGTTGGATTTATGTCATGTCAACGATTGGTGTTTTAATCTTGCTGTTCTTGTTGTTCGGCTTATGAACCTTAGTGTTCGTCCATTTCTCCGGCGTCATAGGACAGCAAACGCTGAAGCGGAAGGCTCATGAGGCTGGGATCGTTGTTTAATGCACTTAGAACTGTATATATGATCCCGGTTCGGCCG